TTTGTTGCTTGCCGTTAGATATTGCTATGCTTTGCATTCGTACGGGAATCATGTGCACAGCAATACCCTAACCCTGAACTCTCAACTGCACCAAAGCCTTTACAGATGGCGCTCCAAACGGGCACTGCGTCAGGCCCCTGAATTAGAACACTGAACCCTAAACCCTGAACCCTGAGCGCTACACCCTAAACCCTAAACCCTAAACCCTAAGCCCTAAGCCCTAAACCCTGAACCCTAAACCCCAAACCCTAAACCTCCCTATCCTCCCTGGGGCCTCGATGTCTGAATCCTCCCCGTCGCTGGGCATCTCCCCTGCTGCCTTGAGGGTGGAATCCTATGCTACACCTACCCAAACTGGCCCCTGCCCAAACAGGGTTTGGGGTTTAGGGTTTGGGGGTAGGGTTTAGGGTTTAGGGTTTGAGGGCTTCCACAACCCTAACCCTGAACCCTAAGCCAACATTTGGGCCGTAGATTGGGAGGGTGAGCGTCGGAGCTCCCGTCGAGCGAGATCACAAGCGCACGGTTTGAGCCTTTTGGGGCTTAGTGTTTTGCATCTGGGGTCCAGGGTTTCCGGGTCCAGCTCAAGCCCGATAGTCCTAAACCCCAGATGTAATGAGCAGAATGAGTCAACAGCATCAATCGAACTTTACTGAGACCGCAAATCCTGAACCTTAGACACTTAACCCTTAAACCCCAAAACCCTTGAACCCTTAAACCCGGAAATCCTTCAACCCTAAACCCTAAACCCTTAAACCTGGAAATCCTTCAACCCTAAACCCTAAACCCTAAACCCTAAACCCTAAACCCTAAACCCTAAACCCTAAACCCTAAACCCTAAACCCTAAACCCTAAACCCTAAACCCTAAACCCTAAACCCTAACCCAAGAAACGGCTCTGAAGCAACTTCGCCTCGGCCAGGGCCTCATCACGTGCGCGGCGCCTCAGCCAGCGGTTTAAGCTTGGGCGAGGGGGATTCCGTTTCACGGGTTTAGGGTTGAGGGTTGAGGGTTGAGGGTTTAGGGTTGAGGGTTGAGGGTTTAGGGTTGAGGGTTGAGGGTTTAGGGTTGAGGGTTGAGGGCTGAGGGTTTGGGATGCTAGGGCTTGAAGAGGGTTACGTGGGCAACAGGGTTCAGGCTTCCCTCTTGCAAGATTTGTTTAAGGCTTTTGGGGGAGACCGAGCTGGCATCGGGGCATGCGGTTGTAGACCCAGGAGTAACCTAGAAATAAACAGGGTGCTCTTTTTGGCTGAAAGGGGGATAGAAGGGAGCCTAAACCCAAAAAAAGGAAATAAGGGCCTAGTCTGGTCCCAGGGTTGTAGGGTTTTGCCCATATTTCTTGGGCCTAAACAACCCGTCAACCCCTCCCAGCTTGGGTGTAGGACAACCCTAAACCCTAAACCCTTGAGACCCTGACGCAGCCGCAGCAGCATTCTTGCTTTTGGCCTGGCCACTGGCTTCAGAGAAGCAGCGCGATGCTTGCATTCTTGGGGTTTAGGGCTTAGGGTTTGGAGTTTGGGGCTTAGTCAGCAAGACCTTGGCATCCCAACGCCCTACACTCTGATGAGGACCGTTTGGGACGATACTTCACTGGGCGGCAGTTGTTTCGGCCCCTCCACTTTCGGGTTTAGGACCTAGGGTTTAGGGTCTGCTTGATTCAATAGGCTCAAGGTATGCTGCCGTTTATCCATCTTGGCAAGGTGGAAGGCTGAACCACAAACCCCTAAACCCCCAAACCCCCAAACCCCACATGCGCAAACCGGGAGGCAGGACCAGAGCTGGAACCCTGAACAATTTTCCACTCTGCTTTGAAGGGCAGCAGTTCTGGTGCCTGCCAGTCAGGATCTGTGCATGGTCCGAGGGCGCCCCCCCACTTTACTTTGGCGGGCTGAGGGTTCTAGAGGTGTAGGGTTTAAACACTAAGCGCCGAAGTCGGGTGTCTAAGGGTTTGCGGCTTAGCGTTGGGTCGCCCAATCCGAGAGTGATGTACACCTGGCCCGCACACGTCGAATGCATCAGGTGCACCACTCAGAGCAGGATCTCTCCGAAAGTCTGAACAAAACCACTGCGCTCAAGCTTCTGGGATGCTAAGGCCCTTAACCCTAAACCCCAGAGTAGCCTGGTGCTGTCTTGCCTTCTGCGAATTCCGGCGGGAGACCCAACAGCTGTTCCGTGAGCGGGGGTATCTCAGAGGAGCCCTGGCTGGCGGTCACCTGGGCTCGCAGGATTGCGGCGAAAGCATCGGAATCCCCTACTGGCTTAAAGTAGGAAGAAGCTTCGGAGATTAAAGGCTTAGGGCTGTTTATGGTTTAGGGTTCAGATTTAAGGGGTTAAGGGTTAAGCGTTTAGGGTGTAGGGTGTAGGGTTTAGGGTTTAATTAGGGTTTAGGGTTTGGGGTTTAAGGTTTAGGGTTTAGGGTTTATTGGCCCTGTTGCCAGGCCACAGTAGAGCATCACGCCCTCGCGTGGCGTGCCCTTGCCCGTTCGGGCTCAAAAGGTCACGGAGTGAAGTTCGCCGCAGGTCAACGATACGACCTTGAGATCTTTGTGCCTGCCACAAACTCCCAAAACTTGGACACGGTTTCGGGCCTAGAGCTGAGGGCTTAGGGCTTATTGGATTTAGGGCGGGTTCAGGCTTCGGGCTCAGGATTTCGGATTTGGGTTTTGGGGCTTAGAACTTAGGATTAGGGTCACCCCGAGCCCATGAGAAATGCTCCAGGCGCTGGACATGAGCGTCCAAACTCCCTTCGCTCAACTGGGAACCCTCAGCCCAAGTAAGCCTAAACCCTACACCGCAAATAGGGTTTAGGGTTTAGGGTTTAGGGTCTAGGGGTTTAGGGTTTAGGGTTTAGGGCCTCAAGGTCAAAACTCTAAACGTCTAGAACCCTTAAACCCCTACCCCGACAACGCTAACCCCCCAAAAAGACCTAAACCCCTGAAAAGCCTATGCCCCTAAAAAACCCTGAAACCGCTGCAACCCATTAAACACCTCAACCCATTGCACACCTCAACCCCTCTCAACCCCTCTCAACCCCTCTCAACCCCTCTCAACCCCTCTCAACCCCTCTCAACCCCGCTCAACCCCTCTCAACCCCCCTCCTCCTCAACCCCCCCCTCCTCAACCTCCTCAACCCCCCTCCCCAACCCCCCCTCCTCCTCAACCCCCCTCCTCCTCAACCCCCCTCCTCCTCAACCCCCCACAACCCCCCTAGTCCCTAGCAATCAAAACCCCAAACTCCCCAACCCGCAGACAAGAACGGTGCCAAAAGACAGACCAAAACAGGCTCAAGAACAGTGCCGGCAAACCAAAAAAGAACGGTGCTGACAGACCAAAAATGGCCCAACAACGGTGCCGATTGGACCAAAAAGTGCTCAACAACGGTCCCAAATTGACCAAACGTCCTCAACAACGGTCCGAAATGGACCGAAAATGGTGCAACAGCGATGCCGATTGACCAAACAGTGAAGTGCTCAACAACGGTCCCAGATTGACCAAAAAGTGCTCAACAACAGGGGGTAAATGCACCAAAAAGCTAATAGGGTGTAAAAATCTATAAGGTAAATCTATAAGGATAGAGAGGGTTTAGGGTTTAGGGTTTGGGGGTTGAGGGTTTACGGAGCCTTTTTTGGTCTGTCGGCACCGTTCTTGAGCCATTTTTGGTCTGTCGCGTTGTTGAGTGAACTTTCTACTTTCGTAACGTTATGGGATTCTTTGGGTGGGTGGGTTTGGTCCTAAGCCTAGAACCTCCCAGTGACTAATGAAAGTTAGAACAGTGACCCTCTAGACCCTAACCCTAAAACCCTAAACCCTCAACCCCCCCTTGGGCCCAGAATCTTACCAGGCCTTTAGCCTCCATCTTCAGCTGCAGCTCATAGTCCAGCTCAAGGTTCGGCTTGATGGCCTGTCCGCGAGGTTCGAGGGTCTAGGGCTTAGGGGGTTCAGGGGTTAAGGAGTTCAGGGTCTAGGGTTGAGGGTTTAGGGTTTTCGGGTTGAATTGGGGCAGAAGCTGTGAAAGTCGGGACGGAGGCTCGCTTCCACAGCTTCGTGAGATGCGAGGAGCAGTCATGGCCAGACAGTGGACGGCCATCTAACACGTTTATCCCGCCCCACGCCGTCTCAGGCAGCAAAACCACCCAAACCTATTCCTTTTTGGGTTTAGGCTTTTTAAACTCAAGTCACAGCCCACTTCCAAGAACTTATTCCATTCCAGAGAGGTCGGTGTCAGGGTTGTAGGGGGGTTTCGAAAGAGCAGGCAGCCAGTGTGTGGGGGGGGGGGTGAAAAGGGGTGTCCTGGGGGGCGGTTTGAGCACTCACGCTGGGCTCGGTACCGACTTCATAAATTGATTACTCCAAGCCGCCGGGGCTCTGGCCGGGGGCGGGAATGCGTTTTTGCAACTTTTCTCGAACCTTTAAGCGGCCTCCGGAGTGTGACTTCAACCTGTGCTATACAAGTTGGTCGGGGTAAAACATGGGTACTATGTAAGGGGTATGCATGTAGTTTTACATCTAGCACCCCTCCTCTGCATCCTCTAGATGCAGCCGACACAAAAACATGCACTTCAAACGAAAACATGTTAGCCATGAATTTTCATCCCTTGGCTCAGCTCGTTTAGCTAAGCTCAACAGATTTTGTTTACACATCACATCTCGTGACTGAAAAGGTTTCACTGTACAAAGCACAAAACAAGACATACTACTCGTTCTCAGTAATCGGGATGTTCACACTCAGAAGACCATCCGCGCAGCAGCTCAGCAGCTCAGCCCAGCAGCCCAGCAGCTCATCAGCATGGTCGCTTCAAACTCCACACTTCTCCTCAGGCTCCTTGATTCTCTTTCCATCTCTTGAATGCTGTCCAGTGATCGCTCATGCAATGCTTGCATGGAGCTCGACATTCTGTAAGAGCACGAGCAACAGTGCACTCTTTGGTTTCTGTGGAACCTTTCAGATCACCACACAGAGGACGATGGTAGGCTTTCCCCCACTTCGTCACAAGAACACGCTCTTCAGAAAGTCATTCTCAACTCGCCAAGGTGTTCTGGTCGTAGCTCGCAGTGCTGCATCTTGCCCTTGATGTTGACGATGAAGTTGATGTACATCTTCAGGTACAAGATCTCGATGTGGAGGAACTTCTCGTGGTGCATCTCCAGGACGTAGATCTCGATGTTGAACTTCTCGTGGTGCACTTCTCCTGCAACAGTAGGTCCAGAAAATGGTGACGAAAAATGCCAACATGATCACGAAACTCACTTTCAGCTCCCCAAGTTCTCTTAGCCTATAGCTCCAAAAGATCTCGAACTCGCTCACAAACTCGAAGGTTTCTTCCACGAAGCTTATGATCATCACAAGGCTTGCCCAGAAGACATTGCACACACAACTTGCCCAAGACTCATGGGACTCAAGCACAGGCTGTGCCTCCAAAGGCTCTTGAATTTCCGCACCATGGCCCAAAGCCGCTAAGGCAATCGTGACCGCCATTTTGACCAAACGAACATCTGCTTTCAGGGCACTCTTTTGCAAAGCTTCTTGGGATCCTAAACGACCATCGTGATTGTAGTACCCCAATTTGCCCATCAGAAACCTTGTACGTTGTGAAGGTAACGGCTTAGTTCCAATATCTGATGTGTTGTCCCGAGTGTGTATCGGTGACGCTTGCAAACAGCCACTGCGCATAAGCCCCTGCGTCCATAGGAGACGCACATCAAGGTGTCTTATGCGCGACACTCCTGCCTTCGTCAGCAACATCCTTGCTGAGGAAGAGTCTAACCTGATAAGCATGTTCACACCAAACTCGCACAAACTCTCGATGATGCATTTCAAGAAGAGGCCCTCCGCAATGGCGCCAGTAGCTGCCATAAGCTCTGACTCGCAGGATGATAATGCTATAGTGGTTTGTCTACGACTGTAGCTGAACATCAAGTTGCCATCCAGGAACAGCTGGCCACATGAAATGCTATGTCGATCACTCACTCCAGCCCAGTCCGAGTCACTGACCGCCTCAAGTAGTCGGGGCTTGCCTTCTTCCATGGAAGGCCTGGTCTCCACCAATCGCTCGTTCAGGAAAGATTTACCTGGGTACGACCAATGAAGGATGAGGAAGTAGTCACGTGTGGTGTACATGTACTCCGCCAAATACCGCAAGTGTCGAAACTGTCGCTCTGTGGGTGTGGCCATGCCTCGCGCAAGAAGAGAGATGGTATGTTGACAATCGGGTCTGTCAGGGGCTACGTATAGCATGCACCCTAGGACTGCACGATACACTGAAGCATCTGCATCCGAAAGAGGCTCAGAGTCATCGGCAGTGGTGATCTCGTGGGTCGAAGGCACCTTCCGGGTTCGGACATGTGTCAGGTTGAGCAAGCCTATCATCTTCTCTATGTACTTTGGATCGATGATCACTTTCAAGCCTTGAGGTACTACTTCAAGCGTGCGCTTCAGGAACCTCAGTTGGTCACCCACTTTCTTGAGTGGCGGAGAAACTGTGAGGTCATACTTCTCGCTTAAAGTGTCCACGACACCATTCACTCGATCTTCCCAGCCCCCAACCAAGCCATCATCAACATGCAAAGTGACTCCGCAATTCTTTCCAGCATACACCACCGGACATGCTTGATTTGGGGTCAACGAGCATTTCTTCAAGTCTCCACTGATCTGTTCGTTCCATTGAGCAGCGGCATCCTGCTGGCCTGGGAGGCACTTCAAGACTCGATACGGCACATTGTCTAAGTATATGAAAAGCTCTTCCTTCTGCATGACAGTCAAATACGCATCTTTCACATCGAAGGATCGCAAAGTCCACTGGGGTGTCGACGCATACATATGTGGGAGAAGGCGAATCATGGAGGGACATGTCGCGGGAGAGAATGTGTCTTGACGAAAAGGATCCCATATCCTAAGTTGTTTGCAAACCAAGCGGGCTCGCCGTTTCCATTCACCACGGTATCTCCAGTCGTACACATACCTTGTCTTCAGGGTCTTGTGAGGAGGTGGTTCGAAGTCCACAGGCTTCAAGACGGACATTTGCAAAAGCCGGCGCAACTCTGTCTCTCTAGACTGTTGCTCCACCTGTTCCATCTCTTCTTCTCCCAAAACTGGTGGCCCTTGTTCTTCTGAACCCCAATCCCACAAAGGCTCCAAGTCATGCTCAGGATTGAAGTCAGGAAGGTCATGCTCAAGGAATTGTTCGTCTAAAGAAACATTATGCAGCCAATCGTCTAGGGAATCTTCTGCAACATAGTACTGCTCATCGCCAACCCTCACGGCTCTCACTTTCTTGGAAGGTTCACCTGCATACAGAGGAGGAGCCTGTAGTGCTCGTTTGGTTCCTCTCTCTGGCTCCAGGTCCATCTGCTCAGATCCCGTTCCAGCTTGTGGCTCAGATTGCGCCTCATCTTGTGGCGGCGCAGATCCTTCACGTGACCCGGATGGTTCACCTGAGTTCGTCCCAGGATCCCCTCCTGGCCCATTCTCTTCACGACTTTGGGAAGAAGAAGACAACGAAGGAGGTGTGGCATCTGTGGATCCCTCTGATCTTGGACTCTCTTGGGTAGTTGGAAGGTTCGGCCCTGCTTCACCACTCAGTGGTGGGAGATTTGGAGGTGTAGATGTCAGAGGCAATGGGAGTGGCATAGACTCAATCGGCACTGGTTTCCGCTCTTTCAACCCTGGAACCAACTGTGTCCCAAGTTGCCCTAGGCCGTACTTCCAAGGTTTCCCCTTGATCTCCTTCAGGAGGACCTTATCCCATTGTTGAGCGGAAGGCAACCTTCGGATCGTTGAAGACACATAAACTCCTAAAGCCGTGGCACACAGGTACGAGTCGTTCTGCAGGCTCTTTCCAATGAATATCCCTTTGATGAACTTGGGTCTTCCTTTCTTCACACTTGGAGCAGCCAAAGCGAAATAAACCGTCTCCCCAAACTGCGCCAGTTTACCCTGGTACCTAACATGGAAGGCCCTTTCGTAGGCCGTTGTTCCGGCTTGCACGGCGAAGCAGTTGTGGAGGAAAGATGCATGGATGTAAGCCCATGAAGTGAGGTCACTATCGGTGCAGAGCTCGAACCCTGATCTCTCCTTCACCTGCCACAGCAAAGAGGTCCCTATGTCTCTCAAGGACTGAATGGCCTGCTCGGCCAAACCGTTCGTCTGGTGCTCATAGGGCTGGCTGGGGCTCTTAGTGGTCCGAAGTCCGACTTGGGTTCGCGCTTGGACCACTTTGTCTACCAGAAGGGTCATAGAAGGCTCATTGTCTCCTCTGACGGATACTTCACTGTAGCCAAGATAAGAAATGAAGCTCAACACTTCTCTGGCAGCATACTGCAGGGAACTTCTTTCTTTGCTTGGAAGAGGAATTGCTCGAAGCATTCCCGTTCCCGAACAGACGCAAGCCAAAACAAGCCCTTTCTCGCTCCCTCTCTTCTTCTCTTTCTGCATGAAATGAAGATCACCCCCATCAACATCGGCATAAAAGAAATCTAATGCAATCGTCGGGACTTCACTGCGACTTCGATGTGCCTCGCTTCCTTGAACATGTGAGTCTCTCCGCGAACGTGTGGACACACAAATAGGGCACCATTTTGCAAAAGGGATGTGAGTCAAATTGTGTCGTGCTTCTTCTTCAGGAGTGGGACCTTTGGGAACTTTTTCTTCTACCGGAATCCGTTCCGCACATCGAGCGGCCTCTTGCAAACTAAGGGTCGCTTCTGCTTCTTTTCTCTTCATGTACTTCACCAGCCGGCGAAAGAGAACCGTCTTTGACCCTGTAGCTCCCACACCCAACGCCCTACATGCTCTCTTCAGTTCAGCAGCAGTAGACTCGGATGTCAAAGTGACTCCTTCTACTTCTATGGACTCGGGCATTGGGACCTGAACTTGCACACCAGGGGCCATCGGAACTTCATGTTCACTTTCGAACGCAGGACGATCTGCATCTTCAGCATCCTGGGGTTCTGGTACTTCCGCAGGTGGTTCAGCCATTCCTGGAAGGGCAGAACTTGGATCGACCGAAGGGACTTCAACTTGCATAGGTACGGGTGGAAATTCTTGCTTTTCGAAGGACAAACCGACTTGATCAGGCATCCCTTTCGCGCGGTGCATGATCGTAACCATCGAGCTGGAATAAATCACTCCAGGCAGCAACTCGTGTAGGTTTTCGCTTGCATCTAAGGGCTGCTGGAAACCTATAAGCTCCCAGACGTCTCCGACTCGTACAATGGTGGTGCGAAACTTCCACAACTTGGGGGCCATCAGGTCTTCAGGGTACACAAACGTGGTTCCCTCACTCAAGCAGAAAGGATCTCCATTGGGTGCGAAGTGCCAGGCATTTCCATGTTCATCATATCTAGGTTCTGAATGCGTGCTGATTGCCTCGAAGTCAAATCCAAACTTAACGAAGACTCGCCCTTCCGAAACCGGTTGCACCTTTGCTGAGAGCTCTTCTCCATGTTGCTCTTCAGAACCCAAGGAAAGCGAAGGTGTGGTACTCGGTGGAATCGCCTGCGGAACAGCATGGACTACCGAAACTTGAGCTTGAATCATCAGACTATTCCTCCGAAATGACACAGGTACTTGTACTTCTTGATACACCAAGCATAGATGCGAATCTCGATGCTCTAAGGTCCATCCTTTTCGCATGAGCTTGCCCAGGCTAAGCAAAGGAGACTTCACGGAGGAGGCGAAGAACTCTTCTTGGATCACAGCCGGACCCAGATCAAGATTCACGAATCGAGACCCATGATTCTCCATAGCATTGCCCTGTGCATCGCTCATGACGACATGTCCAGGTGATTCCACTACTGCTCCAATGCCCTGCTCCAACCAGCTCTTAGGCATAACACTCACATCGGCACCACTGTCCAAGGTTACTTCTACCAACCCACCTGGCGCGCATGGCCTTCGGGATCTCCTCCCAATTCGTTCCAGTCGCTCTCGAAGCCGTCAACTCCAAAGACCTTCATGTACTCCACCCAGTCTTCGTCACCTGGCAGAGCATCACTTTGAGACATATCGAAACCCTCACAAGCTTCTTCGGGATAGGCTTCACAATCGCAATCTTCTTCGTCAAGATCATAATACACTGCATGAACCACATTCACCCACCATGTGTCCTCATCCTCTTGAAAGCGATGCTCTCCACTCTCCAAATCGAACTGCTCAAACACGGGCTTACAGCAACTCTCATCAGCGGCGGCAAGATTGAACACTCGCTTCACATTGGCTCGGGAACTCTGAGAGGCTTGGGAGGTTTGGGCTGTTGAGGTCTGTGCCGAAGACGAGGAAGCAGGATGCCCCGAGAGCAAAGAGTTCGAGACATTGGGCTCTGCGACTTGATTCACCTGATTCTTCATCCAGCACTCTCGGGACCAATGGCCTCTCTTCCCACAGATCCGGCAAGTGTCGTCTTGTTTGCCACCTCCTTTGCCCCAACCTTTGCCTTGTTCTTTCCCTTTGCCTTTGCCACCCTTCTTGCCTCCATCCTTTCCTTTAGGATGGCCCTTCTTGCCACCACCTTTGCCCCAGTGACCACTCCCACCGAACCCTCCTTGAAACCCTTTGCCTTTAGGCCCCTCCTTTCCTTTGCCTCCCGGTTTTCCTCCTTTGGGGCCTTTTGAGTACTTTCCTTTCCCAAATCCTTCGCCATAAACCGCATCCACCTCCATGGGCACAGGTCCTTCATTGAGATTTTGGGAAGACGAGGAAGGATTCACCAGAGCTTGGCTCCACTTCTGAGAGGTTCGCTCCCAGCGCAACACAAGCTCGCGCAAGTCGCTATAGGTCGTGGTCTCGTTGATGGACATACTCACATGAGTCTTCACTTGTTGAGGTAAAGTTCGTAGCAGGATGGCTGTTTTCATATCTTCTGACACATCACCTCCCGAAGCAACCTGGTACTTCTTGAAGAGTTCCTCCATCTTCAGCAATTGTTCAAGGAGGTTCTGATAGCTCATCACTGGGTACTGGGCAATAGCACCAAGTATCGCCAAGGCACGACCCTTGTTCGAAGGAGCAAGCGTGTTGAGTAAACATCGCCAAGTCCTTCTTCGACTGACCTTACAAGCTGTAAAGGACGATCCTTCACCATGCCCGTCAAAAGAGCATAAAGCTTTTGAGCTTGTTCTTCAGCTTCAGGAGTCATCTCTACCAACGAGGTCTCTTCGTTCAGCTGCATTTCTACTTCATCCATGGCCTTGCTCATGTTGCTATCGATAGCCCGAACATACTGTTTGAAAGACCATTTCCACTCACCAAACTGCGCTATTTCGTCCTCACGGGTTTGTGGCCTAAAGATGTCGGGCCTCGGCAACAGTCTTGTCCATGTCCCAGCATCGCTCTTCGGCCTCGCAGCAGCCAAGGACTCTACTGTCTTCTGCAACGCCACAGTCTGCTCTCTGTTTGCTTGCAACATCTGAGCGAAAGCATCCATCATCTGCAACGACGGCATGGACTGCGCAGTTTGTGACGTAGGCGAAAACGGATTTGGTTGGGGACTTCCGGGGTTTTCTGGCACATGTCCTTGCACACCCTCCATGAGCGAAAGTCTATTTCTCCAACTGCACACACTGCTCGGCACCCTTCAAGCTAAGCCGGTAGTAGAGCACGAGGGCCACAAACGACTTCACACCAGCACAGATGTAATCGGAGATGAAGAGGAAAGCTGATCCGAGTCAGCCCGATGAAGCTGGTATCACAACCTCAGCAAGTTTTCTCACACCAGCAGCGGTTGTAGTGCAGATACTAGAACTGGCCGCCACACCAAGCAGCAGCGGTTGTAACCCTTGAAGTTCAACTGGCCGCCTTGTCGCTGCTCGCCGCAGCACAAGCAAGGAGGGAGGACTATGTGGCACACGAGGCTTCCACACACCCAGGGCCACCTACTCTACACAAACACTGTCCTGAGGCTCTGGTTTCTGGCCTCGTAGCAAGCACTGTCGCCCCAGGACACAAAGGTCTAGGAACGGTAGTGCTCCGCTACCATGCAACTTTTCTCGAACCTTTAAGCGGCCTCCGGAGTGTGACTTCAACCTGTGCTATACAAGTTGGTCGGGGTAAAACATGGGTACTATGTAAGGGGTATGCATGTAGTTTTACATCTAGCAGTTTTCCAACCAAAGAAAACAACCTCTGAGCTGGGGGGAGCGATCAGCGATCTGGGTCGACTTGCACCATAAAGGGCGCGGGGCTCAAGCGCCACCCCCAACTGTAGGGCGGAATCCAAATCCTCCACCCACACCAAAACCATTTTTCGGACCCCTTTTTTTGCCTCAAATGGGTACCCCTCCTGGGAAACCGGGGGTCCGCAAGCGGTTCGCAGGCAGTTGAAGCCCCTCCCAGCACGGCCCCCACCCCCGAAAAATCCAAGCTTTCCCCCCTTCCCACTGCCCCCCTTCACCCCCACCCCCCCTACCCCCCCTCTGAGGGGCCTGGCTCAACCCTACCCTAAACCCAAAAAAACCCTAAACCCCAAAGCGTGAACCTTGAGCCCTAAGCCCTCAATCCTAAACTAACCCTCAACCCTAAACCCCAAACCATAAAACAATAAACCCGGAACCCTATAGACCCTAAACCCAACCCTCATTGCTTGGGGTCCAGCGACTTGGGCGCTGTGGAATCACCCGGATGCGCTGGGCCGGGCCGAGGCGGGTCGCATAGCGTTAAAATTAACCAAATGGGGTTTCTGAGGAACTTATACATCGAACTTTGCCCCCCTCAGCTAATTTGTCAAATCCTCACATACACTTCCTAAAAAATCTCCCGCTATTCATCTTATTCACTTTTCAGAAGGTGCTTCTAGGGTCTTTACCAAGTATTGCCCTTTTACCCCCAGTTGTCAGCACTTTCATCAATTCTCCCCGCCTCGTTCATTTTCTACACTCACTCCCTAGGATTCTTACAATCATTCCTCCTAATTTCCACCCTCCATTTTCCAAGGTCCTTCGTAAGGTTCATTCCAAAGCTCATAAGGCTTTAACTCTTACAACCATCCTGTTGTAATGATGCCGGTTATTTCATCCATTTCATGTGATTTTATTGCCTTAGTTGCATTAACTCTTTTCTATTATCTTTTTCATCAGTTCACCGTGTTTTTGGTGTATATATATATATATATATATGTCTTCTATATTGAGACCGTTTAATTACACCTCCACATCTACCAGTCATCACAGTTATGTCTCCATATAAGAAAGTTCTTGTGTTAGACCTACTAATCATGGAGCTTATATGACAATGACTTTCAGACCATGAAGCTTTATTCATTGCCATTCTGAAACGTTTGTGATTAGTACTACGTTACAGTGTAGAGACCATCATCCGTTTCAACACCCAGTTTGCTATTAACATAGCCTGTACCTTTGTTTTTGTGATTCATTGGTTCAAAAAAGCTTTCAACGCCTCTATTCTTACAGCTCATAGAATTCTGAATGGCAGTCCTTCCCAGCACTGGCCAAGTTCAAACCGGACATCATATGGCAGAATATCTTTGAACCCCTTCGTCGCGAAATCCCGGCGCGTGACAACCGCATGATGAATCTAGCGCGCGTCTTCTTGCAGCCCTTCTTTGAGGGCCCGCATCGATATCGAGACTTGCGCTCAGTCTTCACAAAGATATGGCGCAAACTCACCATCACGGCAGCGACTGCCTTTTCCATGGTGAGTCTTGCCAACAGAGCGATGCGGCGCAAGCTAGGGCACACCTGGACAGCGCCTGCTGAAGTAGGATGTGTCTCACAAGCCTTGCAAACCCTGCAGCCCCGCGCCTGACGGTTGAAAAAAAACGGCCGCCTTCATGTCGCTCAGGCCTGAGGCCCAAGAAATGTTAGTAGAGTTGGCGTTTGCAAGATGCGCTATTCCACGCTTGGCTCCAGGCTCTTGGCAATGTCATCCTGAGCTTGGCATGCCACCTAAGCTGAATGTGCTGCGCGGAGGAAACAATGGAGAAGCAATGCTACTCACCAGTTCTAGCTCGTGACTCGTGAAGATGAGCCAATATTATTGGGAATCGTCGTTGGTCTAGATGCACGCGGCAGAGAAAGGGTTGCGCCATGGCACCGCGACAGGCACCATGTAATCTACAACCATCAACTTTCCTGGTCTCTTCATTAAACATCCCTCCGGCTTCCTGACACAACCAACACTTGCCACCACCTCACATTTCGAGTCCTTAATGCCACCTCCTCCAGAGGTGGAGTTGATGATAACCTGCCTGGCCTGGCAAGGGTCTTATCAGATCCACTTCGCAGCGTCTCATAACCCATGGTTAGTTTTTCCACCGGTAGCATCCCCAAAGGAACACCTATACACACCCCAACATATGTACACGCGCCAAAACACCCTACTTCGCATGAGCACTTGCCCGTCCTGAGGATTCGTGAGGTCAATGTCTGCAAACTCAGCATGTAACATGCACATGTGAAATGTGAGTAGTGAAACGTGGGATAAAGGCATGCATCGAGCTCGTTCTTGCTCTCACCGATACATGACATGGAAACTCGTGATCAAAGTGATGTGATGAGCGCATGCACTAAGCTCGCTCTTGCTTTCACAGGCACGTGACGTGGAAACTCGTGGTCAAAATGATGAAATGTCGTGCAATGAGTGCACACTATGACGGTAAAGATCGCACCGACATGACTACTGGGACAAAATTCGAGTGGATAATCAGGCTGTTGCTGTGTCATCCATCCTCAGTGGTTCATGTACATCTCCATGATCATGGTCTGCACAGGGTGCAAGGTTTGAAGAATTGCGTGATCTCCGCTTTGACGTATTTCTTGATGTCATGTTCTGCCGAGTTGAAGATCTTGCCGCAGTCTCGTCGATGGTACACCGTGCTCTTCTTGGCCATGAACACTTCGTTCTCGTTGGAGTCGTGTTGGTGGATGGGCGCGTTTCTCATGGCCTTCCTGGGCTTGGGATCTAAGTCGATGGGCTTGGAGTCGCGATGACTCGGTGCAAAACCTGTGTAGTTGAGGAAGCTGTTGATGGCGGATGATGAAGTGGCTGGCGTGA